GAGCTCGAGATGGGCTCGCGAGTAGTATGCTCGGGAAGCGTGGAGGACTTGGTCCCCCGAATAATGAGTTGTGAGAGAAAGCCAACCAAGCGGCGCAAATAGAAAAGCGAGATAGTGGGGTTCATAGTTGACAAGTGTGAAACATCTCCACGTCATAATCATGATGCGATTGTAATCGCGGCCAGGATCAGCAATGCAAGAATGTTAAGGGTTCTAGTCTACAACGGGAGCGCGACAAACATCATTTTCTTTGGAGCCTTCCAAAGAATGAGATTCATAGAAAAGAACTTACGAGCGTGCCCCTTATCACTCTATAGGTTCACTAGGGACAGCCTGGTTCCCAAAGGTACTATCGATCTTCCTATAACTCTAGGGGCAGAACCAAAGGTCAGAACAGTGATAGCCGAATTCTTAGTGGTTGACTGCCCGACCATGTACAATGTTATCCTTAGAAGGCCAATCTTGTATGATTTAAGCACAGTTACATTGGTGCGCTACCAAGCGATGAGATTTCTGACTTCCGGGGAGTCGCGACGATCAGGAGCTACACCAAGGAATCTCGAGAATGCTATAATCGAGCTATAAATGCCGCACAGAAATGGCCACACCCAAAGACAATGATCATCGTAGAATCCAAGTTGAACCTCACGCTGCTAGAGGACACTATAGATCCTCGCATCCACAAAGAAGAGCCCGTAGTGAGACCAACTGAAGAGCTGCTAAAAATAAGAGTTAGTGAGGAAGATCCAACTCGCATGCTGAAAATTGGCAGCAGTTTGACCAGAGAAATGGCCAATAATCTGGTCGGGTTCCTGAAGAGGAACCTCTACTTATTCGCGTGGGTGCATGCGGATATGGTTTGGATCAGCCCCGAGGTGATGTGCCACAGGTTGAACCTCGACCCACAAGCTTGGCCCATAAGGCAGAAAGAGAAGGGTCATGGATGTAGAGTGCTCTCAAGCGCTTAAGGATAAAGTCGACAAACTTTTGGAAATCAACTTCATCAGGGAAGTCAAGTACCCCGATTGGCTCGCCAATCTAGTCCTAGTCAAGAAGTCGAATGTCAAGTAGGACTTGCGTCAACTTCACGGATTTGGCCTATCCAAAAGACAGTTTTCGCTACCACGGATCGACCAACTAGTAGACGCGATAGCGAAAAATGCATTACTTAGCTTTATGGATACATACTCGGGATATAACCAGATCTTGATGTAATAGCCCGATGAAGAATATACTTCTTTTATTATTGACCGTGGAATCTATTGTTATAGGGTTATGCCATTTGGCCTCAAGAAAGCTGGGGCGACCTACCAGCACTTGGTGAACAAAATGTTTGCCAAGCAAATCGGCTGATCCATGGAAGTATACATTGACGACATGCTCGTCAAGTTAAAGGTCGTCGAAAGTCACATTGAGCACCCGAGGGAAATGTTTGACATCCTCAAAAAGTATCAAATGAAGCTCAATCCACTAAAATGTGCTTTCGGGGTAAGCTTCAGAAAATTCCTAGATTTCCTTATGAACCAATAGGGTATATAAGCTAACTGGAAGAAGAATTCAGGCTCTGCTTGACATGAAAAGCCTGATTGGCATAAAGTAGGTTCAGAGCCTGATTGAACGTGTGGCCATTCTCAACAGGTTCATTTTCTGAGCCACGGATAGGTGTTTACCATTTTTTGAGACACTGAAAGGGAAGAAAGGTTTCAAATGGACAGAAGAGTGTGAAAGAGCCTTCCAAGAGCTTAAGAAACACCTCGGATAACCTCCCCTGTACTTGTGGGTATCAAAATCTATTATCAGCACGATGTTGATACGCGAAGAGGAAGAAATACAATGGCCAGTGTATTATGTGAGTAAGAGTCTGCTTGACGTAGAGACAAGGTACCTAGAGATGGAGAAGCTTGCCTATGCCTTTGTTGTTGCCGCCAGAAAGCTGCGACCCTATTTTCTGGCACACTCCGTCCATGTGCTGACAAACTTTCCTATGAAGAAGATAATGTAGAAGCCCGATGCACCAGGTAGACTAATCCAATGGACGATGGAGATGAGTCAGCACAACATCCATTATATCATGAGGGCATTGATCAAAAGCTAGGCCATGGCAGATTTTATATCCGAGTTTTCTTATCAACGAGAGGCCGAGCCAAGCCCACCAGAGGCAGATACCTTGAGAGAGATCGAGCAACGAAAATAAAAGAGTGACAACTTATGGCTATGGACTCTGTACGTAGATGGCTCCTCGAATGAAAAGGGAGCAAAAGCGGGCCTCTTGCCATGACTTTGTTGGAAGTTTGGGACTCACATCTTTAACCTTGGAGATTTGGAAAAAGTTTCAGTTCATATAACCTTGGAGAAGCCATTTTAAAAGCTGATTAATATCATTTATCACTCACTACTCTTATGTTGGACTTAATTTTGTTTCCTATGGAGGCTTATTACCTCCTTTATAATGTTTTGCTACCAATGTTTCCTTCTATTTTGTGTGAACTGGTTACTTCGCTTTAGGATTGTGATAATACTGATTTTAATATGAAGTCTACTTGGCTGCTGTTATTGACTCCATTTTTACATAAATGTTATTGCATATGTGTTATTGCTTGGGAATTGAAAATCAGCCACTATGTAAGGATGTTCAATTGAAATTTTCAGCTATATTTGGAGCTTAGAATATTCAACTGGGCGTTTTTAGGATTCCCAAAAATCCAGTTCAATTGATTTTTCATGCTTTTCAGGATGTTCAATCTAGTTCAACAAATTTTTCATGCTTTTTTTGGTCTACTTTAAACACAAAAATAATGGAGTCCATTCTGATAATCTGATATGATAAACAAAGGATTGGAGTTGAGCCACTACTTGGCATGACTCGTATACTGTTCGAGCTGAGCTCGAGCCAAGTTTTATTCTCACAAGCTAGAGCTCATGAGCCACGACTTAACGAGCTCGAGCACCTCTCACCCAAAGTTGAGCCAAGCTTGAGCAAGCCACTACTCGGCTCAGCTTGGCTCAACTACACCCTTAGGTGCACATACAATATATCATTACAATAGTTGAAAAAATAGATATGGTACATAAGGGTAAAATGATAATTAACCTAGTTTCATTGTACATATGATAATCTTCTCTGATTCCATTTTAACATAATGCCATTTTTAGAGGAAAATATTTGAAAATATTCATCCACCAATTTCATGGTTAAAGCATGAACTGTATCTATGTACAACCTTAGTTAAAAGCAAAACCAAAGTGAGAATTTAGCATGAATAAATAGCAATAATGCTAGGTCCACAACCCAATCTCACAATCTTCTCTCACAACCCTCGACCTGGTAGCTCATCATTGATAAGCTCAAAATGAGTCTCACCTACTTGTATGGGTCCCATCTGCCAATTTGTGAGCTAACCAATGATGAATTGCCACATTATAGGTTGTGAGATTGGGTTGTGGACCTTGTATTACTCAATAAATAAAGCAACAAAAAGGCACTCAACACAAACTTTGACCCCGGTGCGCACACAATATATCACTACATAAAGGAAAATGAACATATCTCCACCAGGGGGGGGGGGCAGTTGAACCGAGTAGCTCGCGAGCTACTTGGGCTTGATTCAATGCGAGCAGATGCTCTATTCGCGAAATCTCAAGCAGATCATGAGTTCAAGTCATGATCAAAGCTTGGAAAAGAAATCAAGTAGTTTTGCGCTTGACTCGATTAACTTGCGAATTGCAAAAAACTTGTTTTGTCATTTGAGCACAATGAAGCTTGAAACTCGGTCGCTCGATTGAAGCTCCCGTGACAAATTAATTACCCTAAAACAAACAAAATCAATTACAACACTCAAAAAATCCCTAATTTCATCTATGTTTTCTCGGCCATTGTTATTGACTCCATTTTTACATATATGTTATTGCTTGGGAATTGAAAATCAGCCATTGTTTAAGGATGTTCAATTGATTTGTTCAACTGTATTTGGAGCTTGGAATATTCATTTGGGCATTTTCAGGATTCCCAAAAATCTAGTTCAATTGATTTTTCGTGCTTTTCAGGATGGTCAATCTATATCAATTGATTTTTCATGCTTTTCTTGGTTTGCTTTAAACACAAAAATAATGGAGTCCAGTTTCATAATCTGATCTAATAGACAAAGGATTGGAGCCGAGCCGAGCTGAGCCAAGCTAAGCTCAAGCCAAGCTAAGCTCAAGCCAAGCTTTATTCTCATGAGCTCGAGCTCGAGCACCTCTCACCCAAAATCAAGTTGAGCTCGAGCAAACCACTACTTGAGTTGGCCTGGCTCGACTGCACCCCTAAGTATGAGTAGAGACAATCTTTTTTATTTCAAAATATAGTGTTGGTTACATCCTCATTGCTCGAACATGCCATTTACAATTGACTAAATCCTTGCATACAACCTCAAAGTGATCATTGGTCGATTGAGACACCCTATGCTCAAAATTATGTAGTAAACCAAGCCAACCCAATCTATCTTTTGTCTCGTGCTTTGTATTGAAAACCACTTCTACCTAGATATCATAATCTTGAGTGGTTGACACAACATCTAAAGCCACCAAAAAATATCCTAGAATAGACACTCTTTGTATATTACTACTGTAAAGCTTTGTAGCGAATGATCGAACTCCTGTTATGCCGATTGGTCTAAGCGTACTTTGTGGTTGGCATGTTGATCGAGACTCAAGTAACACACGAATGTTTGTTGCCTTTTCCTCTTCAATAGTGATGTTTTGTGTTAGCATCATTATTCCAACACCTTGATCATTCTCCATATCCTTCGTCCCAGTATTCAAATCATCCAATCTTGGGTCATTTTCATATTCTTTTGCACCCATGTTTACTTTTAGTTCGGGATGCTAGATATAGTCGGATACAATATGTTTTGCAACCCTACTTACATCAATGTCCAGATTAATGCCTAATTGATTTAGAATTGGATACCGTTGCATATCTGAAGGTGCCCTATTTTTACGGTTGCTACCAAAAGCTGAGAATGACGGTGCATCCACCGTTGAAACATGCAATGGAAGGTATCTCATAGGCTTTTCCATTTGCGTGTCAATGAAGAGTGCAAGATCATTATCATTCTCGATTATTTGTATGGGATAATAATCATCAGTAGTCATGTACTTCACGTTCAACTTTAAATTATATCGGCTCCTATTAAGTGTAGTTCTTCATGTAACAACTTCGAAAGGTCTTTGTAGTCCATATGTTTAGGTATTCTAAGTGCTTTCATATTTTTGTGAACCATTATTCTAAATCTCCTAACATCATCCATACTTAACAACAATAAAAGCCAAGAACCTCATTTTTCTGAAAAAAAAAAAAAAAAAAAAAAAAACCATTGATTCATCACGATTGATATGTGTCTAATAGGGGGTACCGGTCATTTGGACATAACTAAGGTTGACTGACACTCTCCAATATCCCCTATTAGTCTCATATCAGTCACTGTAATGTTCGACACCTGTTTAATAAGGGGTATCAGATAGATATCGTCTTTAACGTCTAGATCATTTTTGACGGATATGTTCGACATGTCTGAAACCCCATATCGATTCACATAAAAAAAAATGTTCAAAACTATCCATTTTCATCATGCCCACAGAAATGTAAATTCAATTAATGTATGCGAACAACTATCTAGCCAAAGATAGCTTTATTTACATGTTTACTAAACATACATTTGACAAGTTACAAAAAATTAAATGTTTACAAGTTTCTATTAAAAATTGGGTTTGGCTAGATAGGGAGACACTTTACACTTTTAGGCTAGTTTTCAATTCACACCCCAAATTAGGGTAAAATAATATAATTTTACAAATTTTTTAGATATATTCTTATTATGGTGGTGTTAGATATATTTTTCAATTGTTTATTTTATTGTCTAGGGTTATATGCGGATAGTCATCCTCTTATGCGGATGTTTTGAAATTTTTAATGTGAGGATCAGAGATAAATGTCCAATCGTTCACTTCACAAACTCTGAAATTAAAAGCCAGCAACTAGATGCTGATCTTTGGTTCACATGTCAAAACTTCAAGATTTTCATACCTAAGAATTTTCCTATATATAGATGGGATATATGATTACAATCATTGTGGTATCAAAACCGACATGTATCATTTATATGAAAATAAGAACAATTTTTTCTATCATCTTTTTTGTCATGAGCAAAGTGTACCATTTACATGACTCCATAGTTTATTAAAAAGTATTCTTTGTAATAAACATTTATAAGAAACTTATAATAAAATTTTGATTTTTTATTAAATTAAGTAAATTCTGACAATCCATATCTACTTGTATATTTATTTAAGAGAATTTCCAAAAATTAAACTCAAAGTTAAAACTTGATTAAATAATAGACGGTAAAATCTACGGTCACAAATGCGGGGTCGAATCTAGTGATGTGAGCCACTGGCAGCCTAATGGACCTACGAGGAAAATTGTGAAGATCGTGGAGGCTTGGGACAGAATAATGTCGGAATGTTGTGGTTTGAGAGTGAAATGCTAGAGCTAAAGGGCGATCTCTCTCATGAGCGGGTTTGTCTCTGTTTATATAATGAATCCAGAGGGTTAGAATCCCAAGAGGATCCTGAGTCCTGTCTCGTGGGGGAATTCCCCCCTAGAAAGATATATGATCCTTTGCCTTTATCGGATCAGACTCACCAATTTGAGTAAGAGTCTAGATCTCACCAGAAGAGGAAGCAGAATTGGATTCTGATTCTCTGTTTATCGGACTGCTGTGGGCTAATGGGCCGGAACCCAGTCAAGCTTAATTTGTAGGATAGCCCAACTCGTAGAGAGGGCAGTTCGCAAAGTAGGTTTAAGCCTAGGCCTAACCAGAATTGGACTAAGGCCTTGGGCCATAACATGTTTACTTTGTTATTGAGCCTCGTCAGGTTCAATACGATTTTTGGCCTATACAGTTGTTATGTGTAAAATTAATTCATGTGATAATCCATTTAATTTAAATAATTTTTTTCATCCCTCTGCTATATATTTATCATGCTTTATTTGACATATCATAAAATGTCGGAATAGAAATGAAAGCGGGTTAAGAATTAATATGTCATTACAAATTTAGTTTTTAAACAAATTGGGGTTTACAATAAAGTTTTTAATAATTCTGCTCTCGCAAAGTATAGTATGCAAAATGTTGTGTCACATTAAGATTAGATGAATGAAAATATAAGGTCAATTCGATTAATTGAAGATAAATGATATGACGATTAATGGATAATGCGACATCACTTTGTATTCTTAATTTTGTATACATTATTTATAAAAGTAACACCGCTCTAAAGATTTTTTGCTGCACAAATAACACCATTTTTTTTTTTTTTTTTTTGTGAAATCTATTTCCATAAAAATTGAACCGCATGGGCTTTAACTGATTGAAACTTTAGAATTGAATCACAAAGCCCAAATAAACAGACGTCAAACCAGCCGCCTAAACCTGCAGAAATTCTAAATTGACACTACAGTGACCAAACTAAACCCCAGGACCCTAGCAAGTAGCAACCGTGTGAAACCATGGCACAGTTCCCTTCGTAGCAAATGCACAATCTCATACTCAGGAATCAGCTTGTTCTTGATTCCTCAAGCCAAAGGTTTTTTTTTTTTTTTTTAATTGAATGGTCTAAAGTAAATCTGGGTTCTATAAATTTTGTTTTGCTATGGTTTCTTACTTAGTTTCTTACTTATCCAACAGCCCATTCAAAATCTTATCAATCCATTACAGCATCAGGTTATCTTCAAACAAGAGGATTTTGTGGGTTTAAAACTGAGGCTGCTAATGGGGTGGGGTTACAGATGAACCTCCTATTATTCAATACCCGTCATTCAAGGGTTCGAGCCTCCACGATGTCTGCCGTTGCTCGTTTTGACGGACGGTATCGTCCCTTTGGAACCAAAGAGGCAATACATAGATGTAGCCCCGAGTTGTGGTTTGTTAAAGTTGTGTGTACGCTATTAGTTCGTTCTCATTTTTGTTTGGATAGTTGTTTGGGCTATTTGAGTCAGAACTTGACTCCTTTGACATCGTTTGAGGTAATTACACGGTTAGATAACCCGAGATTGGCCGTCAGATTTTTGGAGTTTAGTAGAGTGAACTTGAGTCTTATTCATTCTTTCAAGACTTACCATTTACTTCTAAGATCTTTATGTGAATCGGGTCTGCATGATGTGGCCAAAGTGGTGTTTGATTATATGAGGAGTGATGGGCATTTGCCCAATAGTTCAATGATAGAATTTTTGGTTTTGTCATTTACAAAAGTAGGAAAATTTGATTTTGTCAAGGAATTGCTTTCTCAGCTGCCGTCTGAAAAAATTGCTATGGATACTTTCACGTCTAATAGTTTGTTGAATTGGCTGGTTAAACAGAATAAGGTTAATGAGGCCATTTTCCTGTTTAAAGAGCATTTTAGATTGTACTCTCGACCAGACACTTGGACTTTTAATATTATGATCCGTGGTTTGTGCAGAATAGGAAAAGTTAATAAGGCTTTTGAGATTTTCTGCAATATGGAGAGTTTTGGCTGTTCTCCTGATGTTGTTACATATAACACACTTATAAACGGATTTTGTAGGGTTAATGAGGTAGATAGAGGGCACTGGTTGTTGAAAGAAGTCAAGTTAAGAGATGAAATTTCACCGAACGCTGTGACTTACACGTCAGTCATCTTAGGTTATTGCAAGCTAGGTAAGATGGAGGAGGCTTCTTGTATACGTGATGAGATGATTAATTCTGGTATTCAACCTACAGCAGTAACTTTTAATATTCTTATCGATGGCTTTGGTAAGGTTGGTGACATGGTTTCTGCTGAATCCATGCGTGAGAGGATGCTTTCACTTGGTTATGTTCCTGATGTTGTTACTTTCACTTCCTTAATTGATGGTTATTTTCGAAATGGACAGGTGAAGATGGGTTTAAAGCTGTGGGATGAAATGAATGCAAAAAACATATCCCCAAATGTGTATACTTTTGCCATTCTTATTAATGCTTTGTGCAAGGACAATAGACTAGATGAGGCTCGCAGGTTTTTGAGTCAATTGAAGTGCAGAGATATAGTTCCCAAACCCTTCATGTACAACCCTGTGATTGATGGACTTTGCAAGGCCGGTAATATAGATGAGGCAAATGCAGTTGTGGCAGAAATGGAGGAAAAGAGATGCAAGCCTGATAAAGTAACATTTACTATTCTAATTATTGGGCATTGTATGAAGGGAAGAATGTTGGAGGCTATTAGCATTTTCAATAAGAAGGTGACAATTGGTTGTGGCCCAGATAACATAACTGTAAATTCATTGATATCTTGTCTTTTGAAGGCTGGGATGCCTAATGAAGCCTTTCGCATTATGCAATTGGCATCAGAGGACCTGAACTTGGCTTTTCCATCCTTGAAGAAACCAATGCCTTTGGCAAGTACCGATATTCCAGTGGCTCCTTAAGGTAAAGGATGTCAAACTATTGAACTTGTCATTGTCAACCCATTCAATGAGCAAGGTCTTCACTGTCATGCACCAAGAACCAAATGCAGCATATCAGCTTGGAGTGCTAATGATTTAGCAGTAAGTATTTTATCAGCATTCTTTAGTTTGGCTTAAAACTTCAGTTTCTGCAAATTGACACACTTCCAAACTTTATCAATTCTATTGAACTTGTACATATCTTTTCTTCCTTCTGTATGTTACCTTTAGTAATAAATTTGATTTATTTACAGGAACTTAGCTGTCAATAAGTATATGAATTCTGTCTTTTAATGGTTAGAGAATAATTAGTTATCTTGAATAATCAACTTACGCTTGTTCATCTTATTGTTGTGCTATAATAGTATTGAGGGAGACTTCTTGTTTCAAAATAAGAAGTATTGAACTCTTTTAGTGATTTACTATAATTCTAGTTAAGTAATGTTGGCGTGATCTCCACTGCAATCTTCAAATGCCGGAAATGGGCTTGTACTAGGAGAAAGTTTTGGGTGAGTATCAATAGAAGTCTACCTGTAGAATTGTTGGAGGAGGATGAAGGATTATGTTGAGTTATCAAGTCATATAAGAAGTGACAAAAGTGTTCAAATATGGGTATATATTAAGAGGTCAAAGGTGAAATAATTGTTTCTTATTCATATATCCTGACTTAATGTCCCTTTCAGAACAGCAAGCCCCATTTTCAAGCTGTTGGAAAACAAAGAGAAGTAGACTAAAATTTACTTAGACTATTCTTCCATGGACAGCTAAGTACTGCCTTTGAATAGTTACCAAAATGTGAGTAATTATGTTTCTATCATATATGTAAAGTTTATTTTTGATAGAAGCTGTCAGAACAACATCGGTGCCTGAAACTTTTGGTTACAGCATAGTTAGTATATTTTTAATGCCTTCATAGAATGATGGCAAGGGCTTACTTCCTGGTTCCAATAGTGTGATTAATGTCTTATAGACTATTTTTAAGGAAGTAACACTGAAGTAGTTTCTTCTGCCTTATTCTGTTTCATTGCTGATCGGAGAAATATTGTGCTTTTGGAGGAGAGAAAAATGACTGTGTTTGGTGGAATTGTATTTTTGCTGCTTATCTGGATGGAGTGAATGGGAGGGTCTTTGATGATATGTGCATTGATGATGTGGACTCCTTGCAGAATAGGTTTTATTTAAGCAAATTCGGCTTTAGTTCTTAGTGAATTTCGAATACCGGTCTTAGTATTTTATGATAATTAGGATGAGTTGATTGTGGATTATTTTTTTATTTTTATTTTTTTGACCTTAAAATCCAATGTAAATTTATATAATTGTAGATATCAATAAGTCATTACTCTCTTTCTTGTAAAAAAGATTTTGTGAAGAGTCCTTAGGATTCACTTCCCAACTGTCTATTTAAATAACTATGCAAGCTATCACTGACATCATTATTGATCACATGTGGTAATTTACAACAGGCCTGATAATTAAGGATAGAAACCTGGAAGTGGGGTGCCTGTCCTCTCCATTGTAGCTTCAAATAATGTGATCTGCTGAGGATATGTTAAGTTACTTTTCTTTAATATGATCTTAATGCTTTTCTTGTATCAATGGACTTGCAGACTGGCTGCAAATGGTTGTTTACAACTATCGGTGGAATCATGGACGGTATTAAGTCTTTGCATATTATCAGTCGGCTAGAACTTAGAATACCATCAAAATTGAGAGATTGAAGGCTTATAGATAAAAAATCTGAACTTGGGCCATTACAAGTGGGTGGCTTGGCTTTACAAGTGGATGCAGCAAATGCCTTGGGGAGAAACTAGTATCTTGTTTCAGCGTAGAGAAGATCTTGAAATTGCTACAATTCGCCATCTAGATTACTAATGTGTTCCATCTCCTATGAATGATGATATTTGCTAACGTGAAAGTACAGACTTTAATATATATATTTTTTATTTTTGGGTCCCTACCAAATTTAGGCATTTGGGTGTGTTTGTTTCTCTATTTTGGGTAGAATTTTTGAAATCCTATCCAAAATATATATTTGTTTCTTTATTCTGAAAATTCAATTTAATTCAATTCAACTATTTGTAAACTCTCAAGTTTGTTCATTTAACTAAACACTCAACCAAAAAAAAAGAAAAAAAAAAAGTTTAGAAATTGATAAAAACACCCTCACCCACCTTTATTTGCCAAATTCTGGCCATCACAGTCGAAAGGTGGTCGGAATCTGGTATAATGACGCACTACTAGTTGGATTTGGTCGGTAGTACATTGATCTAGCATTTTTCGACCAGATCCATCGTGGATCTGGCTAGAAAAGACTAAATCTATAGTCGAAGAACTGGCTGTTGACAGCCAAATCTTTGACTGTAGCTAGTCGTTAATGACGGCTAAGATATGATCGTCGTTAACCGTCAATGGCCGCCATATCTTTGGCTATTGTTGACGATCAAATGTGGCCAGATTTGGCCGTCAATGGTCAGGTCCATAGTGGATTTGGTCAAAAAATTCCACATCGGTGCACGACCAGTCAGATCCAACTTATCGTGCGTCATTACGATGACTTCCAACCATCCTTTGGCGGTGGTGGTCGGCTACTGGCATTTAATGGGTGGGTGAGGGTATTTTTGTTAATTCTTAATGTTTTATTATAGAAGTGTTTAGGGCATCTCCAACCCACGCTATTTTGGTGTGAAAAACGCCAAAATAGCATGGAATGTTGCTCCAATGCAGCGTTATTCGTTGCACCAATTTGGTGCAGATGAACAGTGCCATGCCAAATTTTGGCGGGGCACTGTTCATCCGCACCAAATTAGCGTGGTACTATTCATGTAGCAAAAAAATTTTTTTTTTTTTTTTTGTTATTTGAATTTAACTTAATATGATTATTATTTATATTAATATTTATAATAATAAGTTCATAATAATGATATAATTCAAAAAATGATGAAAAATTAAAAACAAAACTTTATTCAATGCAAATATTAAACTACAATAACTCAAAATAAAAATTAACACTAATTTAAAAAACACTAAAATAAAAAAAAAAATACAACATAAACAAAATAACAAATAGTATCTGGTAAATTAGTTTCGGACACTGTAAGATCATCAAATATTGGAAAGAACAGAGGTTCACCATACTCTTCGAAATGCATTAATGTATCATGTGTGGAAGAACATCTAATTCAGAAAATTAAATTACTAAGTATGAAATTTTACTTTTGTGTTGTTGTTGTTTTTTTTTTTTTTTTTTTTTTTGGTATCATTTTTATATATTTAATTTTTTTTTATATTAAATGTGTTATTTGATTAAAAATGCTTTTTTATTAAATAGTATAATTTTTAAAGTAATTATTATTTAATAAAACATCATCATATATTTAATTAATGTATAAAAAATAATGAGTGAATAGATTAATGTTGGTTATTACAATAAAAGAAAAAGACAGAATATCTTTTTGGTGTAATATTTGGTGCAGTGGGTGGAGATGCAATATTGTTTACACCAAAACTTGCACCAATTTGGTGCAATGGGTTGGAGATGGCTTAGCTAAATAACAAACTTAGGAGGGGGTTTTTATTATTTTAAGTCCTACCTCATAATAATATCCAACTCAACTTTTTTAAAATCTATCCAAAATAGTAAAACAAACACAATCGTTTCAGGAAGTTACATGACACAAAACCCTCAAAAAATTACCAAATTGAAATATTTTCCGAATTCCAAACGCTGCATTTGGTTCGTACAATCTCTAAAGACAATTCCTATACATATGTAAAACATGTTGAACTGTTCATGAAAATGCATTTGAATTCATAGGCATAATCCAACAAATTTGGCTGAAGTCTAAGAGATACTTTTCTAAATAAAAAAAAAAAAAAAAAAAAAACTGAACACAAGCGTTGATTTCAAAGGTATTCAATCAAGAGTAAAGTTTGTCACATTGTTACTTTTCCTGGAATGACTTTGTGACATATTAATGGCATGATCTTGCACCCGACACAGATTTCAAGCACATCTTACACTATCTGCAACATCAAGAAATCCACTGGAGGTAGATATTGACATATTGCAAAATACATTCTGCAACCATATAAATATACTAGCTCTAGCAGGCTCCTTCAACCATGAAACAAGAAACCCAAATGTCTCCCAAAACCTCTTCCATGTACCAATTTCCTGTCCGGCAACATTTTCCATTCTCATTATATGTGGAATACTGGCTTTCATGTGAAGCTCATATTAATTGACTACATTTATTTTGCATACTTTCCGAAAAACCTCAGTCTTGAAGAAGATATCATAGACTTATTTGTTAGTGTATGCCTAGAAATGATTTGGTTGTCAATTTCTTAGCATTTGTCTTGTATCGATATTAATAAATAAAGAAAGAGTTCTTTGATTCATTATATAAGCTGCTTCTTTATTTTGTCATGCCTTTAAGTAAAGTATATATATGAATTGTCTGATAATATTTAATAAGTAAATGAAATTATCGAAAGGTTCCCTACGGAAGAATATTTTTGGGCAACATATCGCCTAGTAGGCATACTGAATGCTTCCAAAAAAAAGGGGGGGGGGGGGGGGGGGGGGGAAGAGGGGGGATATCATGATAGTCATGTCACTGGGGCATTAGTATGGATTAACGATTGGTGAACTGTTTTTCGAACGTGACTGACGAACGATGAATCACATGGAATTGCATGGAGTCAATGATTTATCGTTTGGTCATATTAGTGTATGATGTAGTCCTTTGACCTGAGACATCGCGGTTAATGAACCAGGTACGGATGCGCATGATTCGTATGGTGTATAAGTACGAGGC